ATCGGTCTGTATTCAGGGTGCTCCTCTCCAGTATGAATTTCCTCATGTTATTGAGATCTGAGTTTAAGGGAAAACCTCTCCCAGATTCACTGCATTCATAGAGATTTTTCGCCTGGTATGAATTCTTCTGATGCCTAAAGAGAGAAGATGCTTTGGAGGAAGGGATTTCCGCAATTCATTGCCTTTATAGGGCTTCTCTCTTGTGATGGGTTTGTTCTGATGTGTAATTAATCTGGGACTTCTGCACCAAAGATTGGTATGGTGTGCACCCCCTGGAGGATGGATACATTTGAAGCTCTGACTGAGGTGGGGCAAGGGAAATATACGTAACCTAAACATTTGTATCCCTGTAATATGCTGAAGTTTAAAAAAATCTTAAAATATAACAAAAAAAGAGAGGGAAGGATGAAAAGAATCTCAAAATGCACAGTCTAGTCCTAGACCTAGTGCTCTCGGTGATAATGATAATATTGCTCATACTGTTATACGTAAAATAAACAAACAACATTCCCAGCCATGATTGTCAAGCAATGATTGGATAAATAATTCAGTACAACTAACCTTCAACAATGCTATCCATACAGTCTCCATATTCATATCAAACCTCCAGGCACTTAACTGTCTCAGGAAGCAAAGAGAATAGACCCCCATCAGCCCCTAAAAGAGCTGAAAAGAGCATGCTTTCAACCAGAGTGCTGGGCTAAGGCCTGGAAAAGGTACCTCAGTCTTCAGGAGAATCCTGGGGGAGGGTTGGGGGCAGGGTACACCTGATGACAAAGGAGTGGGATGGAACAGGGCTTGGTTAGCCTTCAACTCAGGTTTATGTTTGTCCAGCATTCCGTGAAGTCAGAGCAGGAAGTGAGACAGGAGCTGGTCTATATTGTGTGCCAGGAACAGCCACAAGCAAGGTTTTTAGCGTGGCATAGGGCAGGTGTGAATCACTGTGCGCTACCCAAACGGCACAATAATACACACCAGAGTCACTTGCTTCCAAATGTTTCAGATGCAACTTAAAACTCTTGTCTGTGATTTTAGAACCATCGTATTTATCTGCCTTGGTTTCTGAATCCAAATACTTGCTTGAGGAAGAAGTGTCATAGTAGAGAAGGCGTCTTGGGACCATGTGCTCTGGAAAGAAGTACCAGTGGATGTACCTGGCACCTTCTTTAATATCACAAGAGATTTCAACAGTTGAGCCAGTTTTCCTGAAGATTGACTTTATTCTCCCCTCCAAGTTGCAAGATACCTGGCTGGCTGCAATGAGAACAAGAACAAAAAATAATGAGGAAATTCTTATTATGGCACCTAAGGTGCAAAACAAAGAAACTCCATGGGCATTGATCAACACAACATACTTACCAGAAAGCAGGAAAGCTAGAAGTAGGGCTAGAGCCCACTCCATGCCTTCTCCTGTTGGACCTTATATGGAAAATGACCAAATGATAAGAGGAGCAGAATACGCCCTGAAAGCTCAAATCCTACTCAAAAAGGAAGTGATTCTTGGGACAGAAGGCCAAAGTGGGAGCTGCTCTTCTTCACCGAACCAGAGGCAAAGAGAAGTGACTGAGGATTTGTCTTAGTCCAAGCTATTCAACCAGAAGGGGTGGGTACCTGGACGGACCTGCAGAGAAGCACCTTCTTCTCTGCTTCGAGCCACTTCTCCAGCGCCCTCCTGTGGCAGCTGACAGCAGGCCCTCTCCAGGAGAGAAGGCAGGAACATGGGGAGCTCAGGACTGCAGCAGGTGGAGAGCAAGTATGGCAGGAAGCTGACCCTGGATGCAGCCTGCCTGGGCCCTATGGAGTGAGCAGTCTTGAATCAGCTTTGCTCCCCTGCACTCCAGAGTTTTACATGTTACAGCTGCTGCCACGATCATGTCTTTTGATGAAGCTTCTTTGTTATTTCTCTGAATCACCTTCCTTTGTACATCTGTAAGTACATTTAAGGACATCACTACCTAATCTGAGAAAGCTTAAACTTGCTTGATTAAAAAGAATTAGATTCAGGTATGTTGGTCTCCATTTGAAGCTATACAAATGTAAATGGGTTTCTGTGTGTGTGTGTGTGTGTGTGTGTGTGTGTGTGTGTGTGTGTGTGAGAGAGAGAGAGAGAGAGAGAGAGAGAGAGAGAGAGAGAGAGAGATGCAAATCCATTTGTTAGAGAATTTCTGTTCATTCTCAATTAAACTCATGCTGTGAAGAAGGATTATGAGATTTAATAAAAAAAAATAAATAAATGACTAAAAAGTACATGATGCCATGCCATGCAAAACTTAATACAAACCTAAACTAAAAAGAAATTCGTTGTTTACCTGAAATGCCAATTTACCTGGGCATCCTATATTTTGTTTGGTAACTATACCCTCACAAATTACATGATATCTGCAAGTTACTTGGATTGATAGCTGGATTAAAAGTCAGTATATTAGATTGATGGTCAAATTACAGTAATGCTTATACAGTTCCCCCCACCCCCAGTACTTATTAAATATGTTTAGATATATGATTACAATGCTCATGATAAGAAGTAGAACAATTTCCCTCTAAGTGTATTTTTGCCATCTCTCATATGCTTTATCTGCTATCATAACAGCTGGTAAAGAGAAGGTAAGGGACTCTGGTTGGTCTCACTTTGTCACGGGAACCACATGTGCAGGGATATGAGGATGCAGCAGGAGCAGCTCTGAAAGCTCAGCCCTCCAGGTCCTCAAGCAGGAGACAAGCTCAAGTTCAAAAATGAGGGAGGAAAGAATTGCCATCATACTAAAATGCAAAGAAAATCCTTCAGAAAGCAGTAGAAGAAACTAACTCCAATGTAGCTAAAAGAACTAAAAAGTTACGGTAATGAAAAAAGGACAATACTGGCACTGGAATGTAAAGCTTTATTCAACACAGTGGAAAATCAAGAAGGAGATTCACTTATATATAATGTTTTATCACACGATCAGTTAGGTCAGTTAGAAGTAATTGATTATTCAATAAATTGTCTTTTGTGAATCAATGCACCATATGTAAACAAATATAGTTGACTTGCTGCCTTACTATATATCAATAGAGATTTTGGTGATCGATTTGCATATTTTGAACCATCCTTGCATACCTGAGGTAAATCCCACTTGATAATGATAAATAATATATTTAATGTGTTGTTGAATTTGATTTGTTAGTATTCTGTTGAGGATTTTTGAATCTATGTTCATCAGATGGTGGCCTATAATTTTCCTTTTGTAGTGTCTTTCTCTGGTTTTGATATCAGGGTGATACGGGCCTCCTAGAATGAGTTTGGGAGTATTCCCTCTGCCTCAATTTTTTGGCATATTTTAAGTAGGATTGGTATTAGTTCTTCTTTGAATGCTTGGTAGAATTCAATAGTGAAGCCATCAGGTTCTGGGCTTTTCTTTGATGGGAGGCTTTGTATTACTGCTTCTATCTTTTTACTCATAATTGGTTTATTGGAGTTCTGGATTTCTTTGTGGTTCAATCTCAGTAGGTTGTGTGTGTCTAGGAATTTATCTATTTCTTCTAGGTTTTCCAATTTGTTGGCATATAGTTACTCACAGTAGTCTCTAATGATCCCTTCAATTTCTGTAGTATCAGTTGTAATGTCTCCCTTTTCATCTCTGATTTTGTTTATCTGGGTCTTCTCTCTTTTCTTAGTCTGGCTAAAGATATGTTAATAAAAAAAGAGAGATGGCAAGATAACAAACTTGCACCCCTAATGGGCACAGTTCACCTAATAACAAATAAATAATAAAATAAAAGTCTTGAGCCTTCTTTGTATTCTTAAACAATGCTAGAGACTATAAAATATATTCAGAATGTGAAGGATACAACCTAAAATTTCTCAGTAAGTGCAGAACCAGGAAAACCTCAATATCTCCAAAGGAGAGCCAATCAGCAGATCAACGCCAAGATGACAAATTGTTGGAATCAAAAGACATTTAAAGTAGCTTTATGATCATAATATCAAGAGACAAAAGAAAAGAAGAAATGGAGATGAAAGTGATATATGAGAGAGATAACAATAAAGATAGAAAAAGTAGGTGAAATAGCATATAAGTGACAGAAACACAGACATAGAAATAAGATAGATGATAGGAAACAGAGACGATAAGAAAAATAGAGAAGGGAAAGAAGCTGAAAAAGGAGATACAGAAGAAAAATGATAAGAGATGACAAATATAGAAAAAGAAAAGAACAAGAATATGGCTTATTAAAGAGTGAGAGAAGGTGAATAAAGGTAAGAAAGTGGGGGGATAAGAAAACCAATGAAGAGAGAGAATAGAGCAGTGCAAATGACAGAACTATAAGCAATCATGTAGTTTCTAAATTCATTACATATTATGCTAGAAAAAGTTAGTCCTGCAAAACAAACAGAAACGAAGTAAACATCTGGTAGAAAAGTCTTACCTATCAAAAAAATTAAAGTGAATGGACTACATTTCCAATGAAAGACATAGGAATAGACAAAAGATAAAAAAAAAAAAACAATAAGTAGTCTACAGGAACACACTTCACTTAAAAAATGGAATATAACACTGAAAATAAAATGATTAAAAAAGATTATCCCAAATAAACAAATTAAAGCCATGAAAGCGTAAAATAGGCGTACTTAATCTGATAACATAGATTTCAAGAAAAACTGTAAAGACACAAAAGTCATTAAATAAAGAGAAGTCAATCAGCCAGAAGAATAACAGTTCTCCTCTCTCATCCCTCTCTCCTCATCTATTATAATAATATAACTATATACCATCACACAACACATATAATATATAACCAACACATAAACCAAGAAATAAAAACAAATATACACACAAAGAGAGAGATAGACACCAATACAATAAGCAATGGATGACTTGAAAAACCACTTTTAGTATAGAAAGACATCAGAACAGAAAATCCACAGAGACACATTGGAATTGATTCTGCACAACACAAAGGACCTAATACGTAACAGAATGTTTCACCATACTGCAGAATACATTCTCTTCCCTCTCATGAATCATTCCCAAGATACTTCATATTAGGGCACAAAGAATCGAAAAATTCCCCCAAATTAAATCATATCAATATTTCCTGACCACAAGGAAATCAAAACTACAATTCATAACTAATAAGAACCTTGGAAACTAACAAACACAATGGAAATTAAACAATATCTCCTGAATGACCAGCTGTCAATGAAGAGATATGAGAAAATTAAAACTTCTGGAAAACAATGAGAAAGATAACACAATGATATGAATGATATATCAACAACTGGGAATACAGAAAAATGCAATAAGAGAAATATTATAGCAATAATGCCTGACATCAAAAAAGTAGAAAGCTTCAAACAAATAGCCTAAAATGATACATGTCCAAAGAAGTAGAAAAACAAGACAAACCAAACCATAATTAATAGAAAATAAATAATGAATCAGAGCATAAATAAATGAAATGAGGCCAGACGCATGGTTCAACCTGTAATCCTAGCACCTGGGAGTCTAGGCAGGTGGACCACTCAAGGCCGGAGTCCAGACCAGCCCGAGCAGAGCAAGACCCCATCTTACTAAAAATAGAAAGAAATTATCTGGACAACTAAAAAATTAAATATATATTGTGTGGTGTGTGGTGTAGTAGGAGAAAAAATTGCTGGGCAATGGGCATATCGCTGTAGTCCCACTACTCGGGACTGAGGCAGTAGGATTGCTTGAGCCAGGAGCTGAAGTGCTTGAGCTAGGCTGACACCATGGCACTCTAGCTGGAAACAGAGCCAGACTCTGTCAATAAATAATAAATAAAATAATACGAATTGAAAAGAAAAATATAAAAGATCATTGAAAGTTGAATTGCGGTTTTTTAAGATAAAGAT